CGAGACTTGTTCCATTACACCAGCCACAAACCTACAGCACATAGAATTCCCATAAGATCAGCAATCTAGTGACAAGTCATGAAGACACTTAACTTAGATGATCGTACGAGAACCTCTTTTCCAACGTGATTATACATAAACTTTTTAGCTGGGGGATTGGTTTTGTTTTGTTTTTTTTTATTATTCTATTATTTCCTGGGCATGCAAGTATTTTTGTTGACTGATTATTTTGTTTTACTGCTTCTTTTCCATATTATTTAAAGCGAGAAACTCAAAAAAATTATTATTTGAGATAATAATAATTTAATCATACAAGTCCTACTAATTAACTTTTATCTACATTGGTGAAGAGCTACATTCATATTTTTACTACATTTAACTAACCCAACTGGAATTGAAACACGTATCTCCGATTTCCAATGAAGAACGTCTGTGCATTGCAGCAACTGAACATTCAAGCTTAGTAATCCCTAGCGGTCACCTTTCTAGTTCCTAACCTGGCTCGATGTTGCTTAACGTCGATAATCGTAACAGAATCGGTGTTTCCAAAGTGATATGATATATGTAAGTTGGCATGATTTACTTTATCTAATTCTAAATAAGCATATATTTTATTTCAAAACATTTATATAACCTGTTCTGAATGCAAGGCTTCACTTAAATATACAGTGTGCCTAAAAATATATATATTATATATTCTGTATTCATTAAACGAGTAAGAGATGCAATAATTCCGCCGCCATTTTTAGGAGGAGGGCAAACTGGATTCATCGAGGTTTCTTAAGGAAGTGAAAAAAAAATCTTTCATTTGAATAAATCCTACTCGATAATCATTAGACGAAATTTTGATTTTATTTTAGAGAAATGATTAAGGAAAAAAAAAAGACAGACTACGTCTTGATGATATATTATGAAAAACGACTCAACCGATGTTCGTATCTTCTAAGGAGGGAAAGTCGATTGCAAAACAGCATAGATTAGAGATTCAAATAAGCATTGTTATCAGGAATGAGATGCAGGTTTTCAGTAAAAGCGGGGAAAAAAACATTTCCATAATCCGAGAAATGGCGGATAATGATAAGAAATTATTGGCACGAACAAGATCGATTTTGCATTTGCATTCAATTCTTTCGTATTTAAAAAAAATCAAATGCTCATATTTTTAAAGAATATGTAGAAAAAACATTTCCAGAAATGAATCCTGAGTAGAAAAAAAAAACAAATGAAGGAAATATATATATATATATATATATATATATATATATATATATATATATATATATACGCATTCTTTGTTACGCATGATTATATTCATATATATATTGATTGGCTGATGGCTTGAAAAATATTTTAGTCTGCAATAAGTTTAGATAAGGGAAATATTCCATTAGAAGAAATGCATTAAGTGAATCATCTATTTTGGAACCTGCTTGATTCACTGTTATCGCACTTACAAATCTTGTGTGCGTGTTTTTTTTTTTAATTCTTGAAAGCCAAACTCTTACACATGTTTTAATAGTAATTCTGATTCATCCTCTAAAATCAAATTGGCAGCTGATTTTGAAATCACCTACAATCTGTTGTGAATTGGGTAAGAAATATATTGTTAATTTTAATGTCACTTAAACGAAACCTCTCTATCAATCATATTAATGCAGCTTTTTAACTTTCATCAACACGTTTGCTTCTCTACTCACTGTGAGGTTTAAAAGTGATATCGAGTGGAAGGATTATCTTGAATCAATTGCAAAGTTTCCGGTTATTCTCTGTATCGATTTCATTGTCTAGAATCTATCTTGAATATTTAAAAGTCTACTATTGGTTCGTATATCTAATATTGCTCCAGTGTTTCTGCTATGTATCTAGAGTTTCTTGAAAGTATTATGAGAATTCTGCAACTTGACCTAGCATCTCGGTTTCAGTAATTTTCCCCTGCCGTGACGTAGCTTCTTTTTGACTCTTCAATAATATTTCACGGTAACTATTTTGATGAGATTTCCATGATGGTACATGGACTATACGAATGAGTGGGCAGTACTAGATTGGCAGCTAGGTCTCATGATTTGCCTGTTCATATTGATAGATTTAACTGTTAATTCTATGCACAGCGCACTTGTAGAACATGTTCGAACCTAATAACTTTAAATACAATGCCGATCCCTATCCTCTGACATTTTTTTTTTAAATTGTTTCTTATCTTTTTCGTTTTTTTTCTTTATCAATTTCTATCCTCTATCCGATCTCGTAGATTGAATCGCAAACACAAGCTATAGTAAATGAGAAACAAACATATTTTGACGTATTCCAAAAACTGAAAAATCTAAACATATAACCAGATAAAATAATGGCATAATCAAGATATTTTCTAGCCGAATTATTTAAAAGAAAACGTATAAAAGGAAGTCCCTATCAATACTCGATAGAGTGATAAAAATAATGGACTTCATAAACCATTTTTTTCATTAAAATTGTATTAAGAGAAAGTTTTGATTTATTTCATTTGTACATGTTCGGGGAATCGACCATAAAGTTTTCTTTTTAAGGAAGTGGTTGATCGCACCTTATAAATAATTACATAAACAAAATTAGGTAGTTTCCTCCAACGCCTCCAATTGCTACAGAACCAAAACAATAACCTAAAATCTCGTGTTTTCTTCTCAGATCAATAGATTTATATAGATTTAATGCATGGCGCCAAAGTTTATCGGTAATATCTAAGCTCTCGTCTGCATACAGCTATATTTCAATGGTTAAAATGGGTCTGAGCGAAAGAAACTATGACTTTTGGCGAAAACATTATTCTTCTTCGAAAAATTTAGACTGGCGCTACGCAGTGAAAAACAAAGAAATCCACCCATTCTTTTCTTTGTTGCCAAAGATATCCTCCTGTCTTGCAGTACTCTGTCCAGCTTTTTTTTAATATATCCTTGGCCATCCCAATACGCCTATGGATCTCAGTTTCGCACTTACCCTCCTCTGTCAACACGCTTCCCAGGTATTTAAACTTCCGCCTCTGCTTGATTCTAGTGTTCCCGACCTTCAGATCGCATTTCGGGCTCATCTACTTACAGACGACCATGCACTCCACAACTCTTTACTTATGCTTAGCGGTAAGTGTGATCGGTGTGATAGGGCCAATTTAGCAACTTATCCCTAAAAAGATCTACAATCCTTTGATAACAGACAATAAGCAAAGAATTATTAATTTTAAAGCATCCAAAACGAAACTGTCTTTTGTTAATTATCCAAGAGAACCACTTTTTTGATTTAGACCAACATGGCTGATGCTAACTACCAGTAGAATATCTCATTGCGCTTACACGGGCTAATGTTTTCCGCTGACATCTCGTGGAAAGATTATACTGAATTAATTGTTATTTCTGCTACCAGAAGAGTTGATTCCATGTGTCGTACTTCATCATTTTTTTAAACATTTAAAAGTTAGCCATTATCCATTTATTGAACATCGCTATTCGATCTGACTTACCTGCTACTTATTTAGAGAACATTCATAAAACCAATAGACAAATCTTCAATACTATACCTCCATACCTGTCATCTTGACTTTTCCCTACACAATAAAATATGAGCCTTTTCTATAAATATGTTCATGACAATTGTTCTGATATGATTTCATCTTTGGTAACTAGGCATTAATCTTACGAATAGATTGCCGAAAAAATCTCATCATCTTACTTTTATAATGGCTAGATGCAACTTGATATCAATGCAAGCATTTCATATCTCACTCTTCTCGATTATTGAACTCTTTTCCGGCTTCTGACTTTACAGTAAACTTCAGATATTTAAATGTAATACCAATCGTTAACTTCTCTCTTCGAAAGTCATTTTCTTTTCAAATTCTCCCACATTCAGTAAACTCTTGCATCTTAGTGGCTTTATTGACTTGCATACTGTTAATTATTAAAATTATTCTTGAATAAGTTAAACTGTAATTGTTTATATTTTGGGAGAGTCATTTTCTAGGTTGCTTGACCGGGTTACATTTAGTAATGTGTATTAGCGTTTGCACGTTTATCTCGCTAGAGTCAGTTCGATACTCAGTGGGTGTTCAATAATTTCTGTCTTATGCCACACCTAATCTACGTTTAGAAAATTGTTATATTGGTGCAGATTTGTGTGTAGTTGTGTATCAGACGACAGGGTAAATTAATAGGCTAAGCAAGAAAGCGTCGGGTATTTATATATTCACAGAAATATATATTGTTCGAAGAACTCTATGAGAAGTGTGGTATTATAAGTAAAGATCAAGTGTATATTTGAAGAGAAACAGATATATGTATTTTATTCAGATTTGTATTATTTATTTGGAAAACCAAACATCAAGCTGCTACCGTTTTTATCAATTATGTATCATCAGTTATTAGAATTGGATATTCCGTCCCAGGAATAGAAAAATAAAGATTCGGGAAAAAAAAGAAGGAATAAAAACATATTCAGTATAGATAATCCTAACTGAGTCCATAGATTGGTAATATGAATTTCTTAGCATGCATGAATGCTGTCATGATTTCCGGTCTTTCATTAAGCAGATTATGATTTTCAGGGTATAGCATAATCCCTAAATTTTTCTTCGGGGATAATTTACACATTTTATTCTCCAGGAAAATTGCGTCGCTTTTTCTCAAAACATCCCATTTCACAACGGAACTTTTGTTTGTTTTTTCTTCAATTTCCATATCTAACTTGCAAATTCTGTGCTATTTTAAAGTAAGATTTGTGATTATAGTATCTTGTGTCAAACGTTCCTTCCATGGAAACGATATACATTTTCTCTTGCCCTTTTATAAGCTATACTTTAGCTATGTAAACAGTACCTTCCACTAGACACTTTACAACATTCCGGCAAGTGCATTTTTCTCAGTTACTTTGAAATCAGTCTCCCCATGTCCAATTATCATTTTGGCCTTTTTTTATGTTTCCCATAGAATTGTATCTGATTTTTACACTGATTTGCTGAATGTGTGGGACATTGAATTTTAGTGGATATGTTTACTTAACAATGCGAGAAAATTTATTCCAATCTTCACATAAGTAATTGGGTGTACAGATAGATAGATAGATAGATAGATAGATAGATAGATCACAATTAACTGGGAGTTATGGTAATAGCAATATCAACATACAAAAGAAGCTCTTTATTACATAGTTATAAAATTAAATATGAATACAATTAATGAAACGTATGCATTGATATATATATATATATATATATAGAGAGAGAGAGAGAGAGAGAGAGAGAAAGAAAGTAAAGAGGGAGAGAAAAAGGCAAAAGAGAGAAAACAGAGACAATGAATGAGAAAGGAAATGGTAGATAGATAGATTGATAGATAGATAGATAGATAGATTTCGTGGTATGTATCCAGTTCTTTGTGCTATCAATTATTAAAGCATATATTAACAAATTGAGAAACGGAAAGGAAGAAAAGAACGTCAAATGGAAAAATAAAACCTAGAATCCAACATTTCAGTAAATAGCTTCTATGATTTTCTTAAAGTGGTGATATAATTAACAAATGTATTAACATATCACTTAATTATTAACCCATAGTTGGGGAGATAAGATGTGAATTCCGTACAATGTTATTTAACCGGAAGAAACTGTAAACAATACAGCGTGAATTGGAACTCTGCATTCCCATTAAAAATTCTTAGCCTTTACCATTACACCACCCGCACATTTAAGTGTATAGCAACGAGTATTCTCAAGTGGTCACCAAAGATATATATATATATATATATATATATATATTAGGTAACTGTGTTCCTGATCAAACCAGACTCATAAATAATTACATCGGTTACACAACCACATGCTTATCCAGACGTCTGACGTTACACATATCTGATCACAGCTCCATTACAAACCATTTAAACACACACACAAATTTGCCAGACTCCATTAAAAACATACTAGTAGAAAACACAGTTATATTACCTGCATCCAACTGCAAAAAAAGACTAAAAGTAATGGAAGCTTTAATAATAAAAAAGAAAAAGCCAACTCTGAACAAAATTAACTACGAACAAAGCCACAATGTGCTAACCGTATTCGGAAATTAAATATATCCCTACCACATAATAAGACATACACAGAAGGAACGCACTCAATTAAGCAGAAAAATCGAATCATCTTTGATAATGGCTAAAGGTATAGCCGAAAGCGCTCGGAAATATAAAACATTTGGACAGTTCCTACATACTCTTTGTCCAGAAAAGAAAGCACTTGTTAGAACACAAGAAAAATTAAATAAAAAGCTTATCCGTAGTACCTTGTCTGTCGTTTTTAATGAAACATGCATAAAAGGAAGGATTGCTGCCTAAATATACAAATATATATATATATATATATATATATATATATATATATATATATATATATATATATATATATATATATATATAGAGAGAGAGAGAGAATAGCAAAAACTGTGGAGAGATTGAAAGGTATCTTGACAAAAACGATAAATATACGAGGAAAAGTCATAATTTCACGTTTATTCTGATATTCTGAGATAGTATGATCGATAAAAAACACCTCAGACAAGCGAGCGGGCGCAAATATTTTTACACACACACACGCACGCACAAGCACACACACACACAAACACACACATATATATATATAATTATATATATATATATAACACGCACAAACACACTCTCAATCCACTGTATCTCTTCCTCTCTTCTCTCTCTCTATATATATATATATATATATATATATATAGAGAGAGAGAGAGAGAGAGAGAGAGAGAAAGAGAGTGAGAGATAGATAGATAGATATAGCGGGGGAGTGAAAGTTTGTGTGTGTGTGTGACACAAAGAGAGTGCGAAGAGAGCGAGAATAAGAAGATAAAAACGTTAGTGTGAGACCAAAAGTGAAGTCAGACAATGACGATAAATATAGTAGAAACGTAGTTTGAGACATATTGCATATACCATGGTAGAGCTATATAGAGAGGGGGGAGAATGAGAGAATGATTATGTGCATGTGCGAGAGAGTGAAAGAAAGAGAAATAGAGACGTTGAAGAGAGACTTAAAGGGATATTTGCCAATGAAGAAAAATATTGGAAATAGTTTGAGGCTTATTCTAAAAAAAAAAAAAAAAAAAAATATATATATATATATATATATATAGATAGATAGATATAGATATAGATATATAGATAGATAGATAAAAGAGCGAGGGAGAGAATGTGTGTGTGAGTGAGAGAGCAAAAGAGAAAATATGTAAACGCCAAACGTGATGCCGGGCAAAATCTATGAATATAAAAAGAAAATATATTTTGAGGCATATTATGAGAAATCCTGATAGATAAATAAAGAATCATGATATATATATATATATATATATATATATATATATATATATATATATATATATGTATACCGAGAGGTCGAAAGCGTGAGAGAATTTGATTGAAGGCCTATCCGGAAGAGTTGTATATTCTTATGCAATTCTCACCCTCAGGCACGCACCAGTTCTCTCTTGACGTTAGATTGGTCCCGTTCTCTCTGAGCGCTGATAACCGTTCTTTGGAGCAGCCTTGCGTATAACTTCTCTTCACACTTGAATAGACATTGAAACTTATTGTTGCCGCCTCGCTGTCTGCTGAAAAATTAGACATTTCCATGTTTCAAAAGAAAATAGGGAAAATAAATTAAATCACCGAGTCTCTTCATATATATATATATATATATATATATATATATATATATATATATATATATATATATATGTGTTCCTGTGTGTTTGGTGTTTGTGCGTGTGCCTGCGTGTGTCTGTGCATACACATTTTTCCAATTTATTATATGTATATAGACAAAGTAAAAATATATTACTGTTAACATTTTATGTATTATATAATTTATTTAACTTAGATTCCTGGAATGAACATATACATATAATTGTGTGTATGTGCAAAAATATACATATATATATATATATATATATATATATATATATATATATATATATATATATATATATATACGCACCCATGCATGTATATGTGTAAATAAAGAAATATAATTATATTTAATATGTGTTTGAAAGCGAGATAAGGAGTGAATATATTTATTGTTTTATTATATATATACACAGCTAATGTCTTGATTGTATTATATAATCTCCTGAAAAATTATTTTCGGTTGAGCTCTCGGGAAGAAAATGTGAGTTTGTAAACAGTGACTATTACAACTAATAATGCAAGACTCTTGGGTAAATGGAATAGTGTTTTCTCTGTCACTGTGTGTTTATCTAAAAAGAAATACGCTTATATTTACATTCAACCCTGCCGTGCGCGAAAGACAACGATTAGAATCTCAGACCGACACCAATTCATCCGTGGTTCGATCCTAGCTAGAGTCAACTGCACAAAGAATTTCAACTTACTTTTATTAAGATTCACATGCACTAACTATATATTGGAGTCTCTCCATCCACGTGTGGGGGGGGGGCGGAGTTCCATACACGAAATGAAAACGATTCTCTATCTATCATTCCAAAGTTAGGTCACCCAATGAAAATCGACTTCCTTATTAAGTCTTTCATCTGACCTCGAATGTCTATCTCCAGAAGTCGCTTCCAATAAAAAAAAAAAGTCTTATAAGCTATTATTTAACACACACACACACACACACACACACACATTTTGGTATGTCCGATTTAGTTTCATCCTTCAAGTATGAATCTTGGATATTTTTAATGGATTTACCAAAATAAATAAATAATTAAATAAATTTTCTTTTAATCTTTTCACACCAAGTTAAAAATGCCACTGGTACGCAGGAGGTTACAGAGAGTGAAAATGAAAAAAATAATAATGTGAATAGAGAGGATTGAAGAAAGGACAAAATATATAGAGGCCTTTTCAAACAATTCTTTGTGTCGGACTTTAAAACATATGAATACATCTGATGCATTTGTGTTGCTCTGCCTGGCATAAATATTGTATTCCTTGTTTCAGTGTCTTTAAGGAAACTGCGGCGTTCTTGTCCTCTTTCAACTCTAAATCTTCTATGCACTTTATTCATCAAAATTCTGTCAATATGTTTTGTTACCTTGCTCTTAATGCTGATTGCCCGAGGGCGTTCGCATTAATTTGCACCTGGCTTCTTAGGCAGCCCGATGAAAATGAATATATTTAGCCTTTGTCAACGCTGTCGTATGTTTCATTGTTCCTGTAAAGCATTTACTGACAAAATCCTTTAATAGAATCTCATCAGTCCCTCTTGGCCAGGGATGATGTCACCTTACTTTAATATTTCAAACATATATATTAACAGGAAGTAAAAAGGATTAGAAAATATCAAATATATTTGAAACAGCTACGAACGACTGCTAAACAACCATTATTGACCTCTTACTGAAACACTAAAAATTTTCTACTTACGTATAAATGCGTAATATTAAATAATACCTAACCAAGTAGATACTTATAGTTTCAGATATATATATATCATGAAGAAATGGACAAAGTCCGACAATTTATTAAAGACATTTTTATGTTTGACATTCTTTTTATAGATACAAGTATTTAAGTATATGCTCTGTTTATAATAAACAGTATTAAATAACATTTACCGGCCTGAATGTCCGAGAAATTTTCATAGAAAATATTCGTCCTTTGACAGGATTCGAACCTGCATCCTATACAGAACCGTCATTTAGTTTAACGTGCCTAACCTCTCGGCCACAATATATTTATGTATATATCAATATTGACCTATTAATTCAGCAAGTTAAAGGTTATACTTACATATAAATGTGTAATATTTCTTTATACCCGAACAAAGTAGTTGCTGTCCTCTAACCAAGTAAAGCATCACAGGTATATCAAAATGGTTACATATCCAAAATAACAATATTATCAATCTTTAAAAAACAAAAAACAAAAAACTACCATATCATCGAGGCTATGAATTCGCCAGTTGGTGTGATAACACGATGGGTAACCATAAAATTTTTCAACTACTAAGGAAGTATTTATATATTTTTGTGTAGTATAGATTTCCCTCTTTCAGATGGAAGACTTCTCCGACGCTTTCTTTTGATCTATGAAATAATTCTTTTTTTCGTCTTTTATTTCTATTTACTACATCTGTGATACTCATTCCTTCAAATTCTACTCCGTTTTTAATGGGCTGTTCCTGTTTTGTTTGTGTGCATTTGTTTCTAATCTCTTTGTGTAATATATATTGCTTCATCCCATAGTTTGAAATTGTTTATTGTTTCTTTTTAATCCTGTACAGAATTTGATTCATCATCAGAATCATCACCTTGTCTTTTGTAATCGTATGTGGGGATATGAATTCAGAAGCCACAATGGATCCGGACGATAGTCATCATCAATTCTGGTATAGTCATAC